TTGTTTTGTCAAGATTAACAACCATGTTATTTTCATTGCACCATGTGTGAACATTAGACATATCATCAGTTAGAATGTCATTGAGTTCCTCAACTGTCTTTGCACTGGAATGAGATGTAGAGTCGTCTGCAAACATATCGATATTGGAACTAGTGTATAGGGGAAGGTCATTTATAAATACAATAAACAGCAGCGGCCCAAGTATGCTTCCCTGAGGTACCCCATAATGGACTGGTTTCGTAGATGACAGGATTCCTTGAATCTGAACACACTGCTGTCTGCCTTGTAAATATGACTTGAACCAGGATAGCACTAAATTATCACAACGATAGATTGCAAGTTTCTGAAGAATATTTATTACCTTACTGGCAGTGCTTCACTGGCATTAGGTAAAATCATGTGTTTTCTGATGTGCAATCATTAAGTAAAGAAATAATAGTCTAGGGAATGAAATGTGGTGTGAAATGGGTAAACGTTACGCCCAAGGTAAAGAGGTCAATTGATCCATAACAAATAGCACTACCAACTGTTAGCCTAAAGTTATTTTGAATAAATTACCAACTGTATAACACTGTATTATCTTTATTTACAATGATGGGAGGTTCTTATATAGCACATCTATACATGGTCTTATTGCACTTTATATTTTTATGACCAGACGAGGAGATTACAGGCTGCATATTAAGGTGCTACTAATTAGCAGCCATGCAGCTTACAATAGTACTGTATTTTTGAATAGGCTGCATATTTGAAGCAAGAGACAATCCCCTACTCTTACATGAATAATTCAACAGGTTCATTTTACTGCAGGTTATGAAAGGTCCTACTGTTTTAGTCCTTATCCTTATACAAGTAATCTGTTATTACAGTACACTAACTCTCTCTCTCGTTATTGCAGCTCACTGGCTGAGTATCGAAGGCTTGCAGCCAGCAATACCAGAAAACCCACCACCAGGTATGCATTTCATAAGATCAAAATACTCACCTTTCCCTTATCTGCATTTTAGCTGAAGAAAAAATACAGAATATCTTTCTCCTTCCCCTTATATCCTCATTCATTCCATAAGGGAGTCACAAATAGATTAACATATATATTCCCTCTGTGGTGGAGGTATTGATATTTTGTGTAACCCTGATTAATGGACCTAAAAATCATTGAATTTGATTCTAGTATAAGAAAATATATCCTTCCTTTTTTGCCTCCTTTCCTTGCACATTCCTTACTTGCTTGCTAACTTCCTTCTTTCCCAACCTTTCCCACTCCCTCCCTCCTTCATGTATTTCTTTCTTTTTTTCTCATTCTAGCACAAGTAAAACCAGCTAAAGATGACAACAAACCATCCAGCGATGCTCTCCCAGCACCAGCCCTGAATGCCAACCAGAAAAAGACCAGTAAACTTAGTGATATCACATCAAAAACACCCACTAAAAAACCAAACCCCAAGACAGGCCTGCGTCCAGTCAAAACTGGTAATACCATGTCTACAGCCACAGAAGAAGGAATGGAGAACTTCAAGGGGATTGTTACACATGAACTTTCTGTTGTGAGTAATATAGGAAATGAAAAATGACTAGAAATTGCATGCAGATGATAATTGAAACAGAAAAAAAAGAAAAACATTAGATAAGCTATAATTAAACCGTGAAACATTCTGAAAGTTTGGGCTGACATACTGTAACCCACTGAAATCAATCTGTCATAGATTAGTACTGATAAATATTAGCATACAAATAACCTAATGTTGCTACACTTCCCATACTCACAACAAATGAGTGATGGCCTATAAAAACCTTCAAATTTTATTGGACCCTCAAACAAACTCTGGGCTGATCAAAGTCATGAGACTAGCTTAACTCACAGATTAAATTGGAATTTAGCTTGTCAGGTTTTGTGGAGGGGGGGGGGGGGCAGAAAAGCACAAAAAAAGTCCTTGAATCAAGTGGGCCTACGACAAATTCCTTGACTACTAATTTTTTGTTTCAACAGGAACAGCAGTTATATTATAGAGAAATAACAGAAGCTTGTGTTGGGTCTTGTGAGTCCAAGAGAACAGTAAGTAATCAAGTTAAACACCAATGCATCAATAAATATCAATAACTTTTCCAGGCTCTTTCATGTGAGGGATTCATATCATTATTTTGTGCGTATTTTCCAGGAAGCTTTACAGAGTTTGGCCACTGATCCTGGACTGTACCAAATGTTACCAAGGTTTTGTACATTTATTTCTGAAGGGGTAAGAGAAACGTTATTTCTGGAACTCCTTTCCCTCACACTCTACCACATTAAACAAAACAGGGTAACACATTTCCCCTTTCTTTCATTTCAATTTAGAAGGAAAGCCCATTGGTATCTATTTTCTTTAAGTTTGATGTATTGTGACATACATATATCCCATAGTTTATATAATTGATTATGTTTTTATTTCTCTGTTGATGTTCAGGTTAGAGTCAATGTCGCACAGAACAATCTCGTCCTACTGATATACCTGATGAGAATGGTCAAAGCACTGCTTGATAACTCAACTCTCTTCCTTGAAAAATATGTAAGTGTTCATAGCATCATCAATTAGCTCCCATTTTACACAAACAATTATTATTAAATTCCAGTTCATTTGTCATTAATGATGAGGAACTTCTAAGGTCCTAATTTGGAACCCTGGGGCATGCCAAGTCTGTAAGTCTGTATATCATTATACCTGTGTCATTGATAAACTTCCATTATACATGAACAATCAAACTTTCAATTATTCAATTATTCAATTATCATTAATAATGGGAAATGACTGGGGTCCTAATTTGGAACCCTGGGGTATGCCTAGGGAATCTGGAAATCTGTATATCATCATAACGATATCATTGATAAACTTCCATTGCACGTGACAAACACTTCAATTCATTTATCATTAATAATAATGGAAAATCACTGGGGCCCTAATGTGGAACACTGGGGCATGCCTGAGTAGTCTGGAAGTATACCCTTATACCTATATCATCAATAACTTCCTTTTGCATGAATAATCAATTCTACCTCATTTATAATTAATAATGGGGAACCGCTAGGGTCCTAATGTGGAACCCTGGGGTATGTGTGAGAAGATTGAGCTGCAATACTAACATTGTCTTGCCTATTGATGTTTGTAGCTACATGAATTAATACCAGCTGTTGTAACTTGTGTTGTGAGTAAAAAACTCTGCCCAAAACCTGAAGTAGATAACCACTGGGCCTTGAGGGATTTTGGAGCAAGACTCATCGCACAGATTTGCAGGTAAGAATATAATAATGATTTTAAGATTATATTACAAACACATTATTATTCGTTATATATCCTTTTACAAAGGTATGTACTTGAACCTATTTCAATAAATGTTGTCATCGGCAAAGGAGATAGGCAATATAGGTCATTCGCCTATCGCTTATCATGATTGCCTATCTTTTGTTTTTGCCGTTTTTGAAATAAGTATATACAGAATATTAAGTGTATTGAAAATGGGGTTGATTTGACCACCATTGATTGCCAACATTGTTACTGGAGCTGAGAAAAAGATGCTTAGCGCCTCTCTATCTTTGCACTAGTTTTGTATGACTTGAGTATGTGTGCAAGCAACTTGCAGACACAATAATAATATTTGCCATTCTTCCTTCCTAACAATTTCATTTAATGCTACAGCTGTACAACATTCAACGGTACTAGCCATCTTAATGTGAAGAAATAGAAAACACGTGCGCATGCTGTGTGCTGTCATAAAGCACGTAGGGGTTGGCAGAACTTGAGAGAAGTGTTAGGAGAAGCATGATTCGTAGCGTACTGCTTCTGGACACTTCTCGAGTCTTCTGCCAATCCCCAAGTGTTTTATGACTGCACACAGCACAGCAAGTAATTTTTTATTTCTTTTATAAAATACAAATTACAATAATAGATAGGAATGACGCAACTGAAAATGCGTGTGAGAGCAATGTGCCCTCATAAAGCATGCACTCCAAACCAATCAGAACGCGACATTCATAACAGTTATTTCATAATGGTTAATAGAAAATGTACTTATAAATTTGCAGGACATTTAATTCTACTACAAACAGCGTTCAGACAAGAGTAACAAAAACATATTGCAAGGTACTTATTCTTCTTGGTAATCTCAATAATACTGCTACATTGGCTTATTAATTTTTAGACAAATTTTTGCATCACAAAAAATTTCCCTCTATAATATTATTGGCCTCAAAGTTTTGTCAAATATAGACAACGATCCATATTTCTTGAGCAAAATAATCACTTGGGTGTTAAATGAATGATTGTTTTTTAGGCTCTACAACAAGAGAAAGCACCACTTGCTACTCACTATGGTGCTATTACAGGACTAGCAGAACTTGGCCAAGAAGTAACCAAGGTCCTTGTTGTACCTCGACTTAAAATTGAGAGTACTTTGATAGTAAAAGCCTTACAAGAAGGGGATGCTGTGGAGAAAAATGCTGCTGAAAACATAAAAAATCTCTTGTTGGTTAGTAGTAATCCAACAGACTGGTTTTTTTTCCTTTCCTTTTTTCTTTTCTTCTCTTCTCTTCTCTTCACTTCTCTTCTCTTCTCTTCTCTAATCTGGAATATCTAAGTGTTTTTTGCCTTTGTCTTTTAGAAACATTGTCCAGGAGTACTTATTCGCATGCATCATCCACCTGACATTCCAGAAAAGTATGAATCTGATTACGGTAACATGGGTCGGTTATTATGCACTAAAGTTGCTCAGCTGCGTCAAGGACTAAGTGCAGGAATAAGTGCACTGAAACCTAATGTATTAACACTAAAAACATCTGTTAACTTTCCTAAAGCAACCAATATAACCACTCCTACTACCCCTACGACACCTGTACAGGGTCCTAAGACTCCATTATTGATAGTCTCATCTGGTGCATTGCCAACTACTCCTACAAGTCCAGCCATGAAGACGTTCACTGTTCCATCATCAGTGGTTGCTGGTGTTATTGGTACACCAACCATTAGTGGTGTACAGTCACCTACTGTACCAAAAAAGATTTGAATTTTCAGTCTTATTTTAATAACATGTACAATTTTAGCAGATATAATGTATAATGTATAAATTAGTAAACCTGATACTTAATTTTATTTTGATTGCTTTACTTAATGTATGAGGGAAAGAGGGAAAAACAAATGAATGAAATTTGGTGTAAATTTTTACAACCATTCCCATCATCTTCATCTCTGGGTGTTGCCACACCTTAGAACTGCCCTTTGTTTTTGCCTATCTTTATATCTCTTTATCTGACAATCTTTCTTTGAACTTTGAAACAATGAACAAAAAACATTGCCTAAGGGAATGATCATGCAGTCTGAAAAGGGGTCGTGGTTGAATGGATGAATGGAGCTATTGTATTGTCTTAAATTATGATTTTGAACTTTTCCATCTCCTGTTGACTAAAATTGGACTTTGATCTACATAAAAAGATTAACACTAAATCTCTGGTATAGAAAAAAAAGTAAAGAAAGTTATTTCCATTTTTTGTGAATTTTCTTTGGCAGAAATAGAATAGCATGCTTAAAATAAATAAAAATACAACAGTATTGTAGTAAGAATTTATAAAGGCCTAATATTAAGTTTTCCAGCTGTAGCATTGATGACAAACAAAAGAACTCGAAAGAAAATACTAGTTTGAAATTTTTTTTATTGATTTTAACCGCGGGTCAAATCCAGCCAATGAAGCGAGACTATCTTTTTGTTCCGCGTTGACATAAAAACATATCACGTGTCTTTATTTAGCGAGTCACATGGAAAACATCTGCTATCACGTGTCCAATCACGTGTGCAGGAGCAAGAGCAGCGAGTTTGATTGACAGTTGCTGTTGGTAACAGTGAAGGGTGGGGTGAACGAGTGACGTACTTATCATGTGATGTGTTCTTGTCCTCGTGGTCAGTTTCGTCGTTCTTCTCTACTGTTCACATGACCAGTTTATTTGACCCCATGACCAGCGCTTCGCATTCGAATTCTCCGACTCTGGACATGCTCGATGGCTCCCTAGATACAGAGAAGACGTCTCTACACGAGGCCAAGGGCTCTGATCCAACGCAAGTTTCCCCAGAACCCGAAACAGTCACAGTCACAGTCTCGACTGTCGGCGACGAACACGGTCTTGTAGGCCATAGGAGTAATTCGCCCTTCGTTGCTGACCCAAACGCCATCCAGTTTCAGTACAGGGCAGACAATAATGGCCAGGTTCAAGGGACAGGGTTCGATGGAGGAAGCCAGCAGATTCGAGTTGTTCATGTGCAGTCTGCTGAAGTCGTTGGAGAACGAGTCGATGGGTCTGGTACGCCAACGAACTTTGTCTCCCAACCTCAAGTGCAAACGGTGATCCAAAGTCCATACAGCAATGGCTCTTCTCCGACGCATCAATCCGACACCGATGCTACTCCAGACGCCAACAGATTCACCTACTTTCACACTCAGCCCGATGGAGCTGGAGGTGGAAACGTTGTGCAAACGGGAGCTGGGGATTCTCTCGAATCAAACAACACTTATGCCGTTCGTAGCATCCCTGTCTCACTACAACAACCATCCTCTCCCTCTCAACTACCTGGAACAATAACAATGGCTGAGGCACAGACTATCACAACTGTAGGGACTGCTGCAGGTAGGAATCTTCTTCGTTTGTCATTTTTGAAGGGTTAGGAGTCGACGAGAATGCAACCTAAGTTGTTCAACATATTTTTTYCCTCTCTCGTTGAAAGGAGGATTTTACGTGATGATGTCCCCTCAAGAAGTCATGCAGAGTAGCACTCAAAGAACCATAGCCCCAAGAACACATCAAATGGGAAGGTAAGATATTATTATTCTGGTTTTATTACTCGTACACCACAACTCATATTGAAATAAATGAATCCGTGTTGAATTAGCGTGTTTTGGTTAGAACGCCATATTTTATTCATTGTTAAACGAATATTTACGCGAATATATCATCTTAAACAATAACTTCAAAGTTGTTAGTACAATTTCTTAAATTCATTGTCGAGGTTTGAAAAAGGAAGTATCCTAATTTTACAAACGAAAAAGATAAGGGCGATCCAGCAATTCTTGTCATGGAATACCAAGGTTTCTTTACAAACATTCTGTGCGTCAGTACGTTCGCAAACACATTTTATTCAAATCATCTGCCAAATTGTCGATTAGGTTTTGCACGAAAATTCATTAGTCCTGTGATTTTCTCGTAATTTCGGCTTCGAAAAGAAGAAATAATTTCAACGAAATCGATGTTTTTGCATTATTCGAGCGAATGTCTAAGAAAGCTGATTCTTAGCAGTTTCCTCGCGATCTAGTGTTCAGTAATATCGAAAATATTATCTAAGATTAGCTTAAGAGGTTTATTACAGATTACAGAGACCTGTGTTTCCCGTCAATATTGTGTGAGTTTTTATTTTGTTACCATCACATGTTAAAACACTATTCCCATGTGATCAACGAGGTATCTGCTGTTGTGTCTTGAATCATGTGACAGTCAAAGCACATGGACTCCCTTCATTCTCTCGTAAATAAAATCACCATTCGTATTCTTGTGAGAGTCAAAAATGGAGGTTCATCGATTGCTTGAACTTTCTTTTTTCAGTAAAGTTGAAGGCACTAGAGGTAGAGACGACAAGAGAAGAGAAACTCACAATGAAGGTACGTATTGTACGCAGATGTTATTTTAAAATACTCAACAATTTTGAACTTGGGTTGCGAAAATTATTAACTAGAATCTTTGATGTTTAATGATTAATACTAGGAAATGATTTTCGTGTGTTGTGACCTAATGTTCAAAATTCTTTCAATTTTTTCCGAATTTCCAAAACAGTATGATTATCTAGTAATTTAGCTAAATTTGTGCAAATATTAGGATATACAAAATACCCAAAAAACTGTACCAAAGACTTCCTTTAAATTGGTGCTAGTAGACAAATTAAATATCATGTTTTTAATCATAAGTAATCTTGTATGATAACAATGGTCTCATTACAGCATGTTTGTCATTATACATCAAGAAATGTCTTTGTACATGGTTGCTACAGGGTTGTTTTTTACATTCTAGTTGAACGTCGTAGAAGAGATAAAATCAATGGATGGATTACCAAGCTAGCCAAAGTCGTTCCAGATTGTGCCTGTGATCAAACTAAAGCTGGACAGGTTGGTTTTTATGCACCGACTCCTAGTGCACATTCAATGAAATCTTTTCCATTATTGATATTTTTTATCTATTGTTTTGTATATGCACTATACAAATGATTGCAGAGGGAAATATATTGTACAGTTCAAACAACACACAAATATATTATTTTTACATTGCCTTCTGGATTTGATGGTGTAGGTATCTACCTATTAACTAATAAATTAAAAAATAATTATTTATATAATCTAATTTTTTCAAAGAACACTTTTAATATTGAGCATAAAGTTATGGGAAAGTCTATCAACATTTTTTTGTCAAAAAATAATAGTTTAGTATTTTTTTTCAAACATAGTTTTCTTTTTGTTTGACCCAGAGTAAAGGAGGAATACTAGCAAAGACAGTAGATTACATAAATGAACTAAAAACAGCCAACACAAGAATGGGTGAAAGCCTCAAGGATAATGAGCAGACAGCAATAGATATTGAGTTGTTACGTCAACAAAATGAGGAGCTTCGGCAAGAAAATGCAATCTTACGAGCTCAACTACAGCAACATGGGATAGACCTTGGGACCATTGTTTCGGTTGGCCAGCCATCCCAAGGAACAGGTTAAGACGATGTACACACATATGAAGGTGTTTCTGGATCATTTGGGATGCATAACTAATTAAATCCCAAGGCAATTGATAATTACCTTTGAACATAAACTTCGTACTTGTATCCAACTTCAAAACAGCACAAGTAAAACCATTAGCCATAGTTAAATAAAATAGTAGTTTGTGTGAATATGTAATCTATAGAGTTCGAAGATTTTTATTGTATATATATAAACTTTGAGCAGAAAATATAAATAAGCCTCTCCTTTCCAATGCACAACCTCAAATTTCGTCATTCAAAATGCCACACTTGTACTCTAACTATTCAGGTAATATTTTACTGTACTTAAGTCAGTTGGCTATTTTCTAAAAACAATATTATAATGGACTGAAAACAGTTAAAAATGCTATAGTAAACAGTCAGATGTATTTTCTCATTTTTTTCTTTCAGAGATTTTGTCTGAAGACAAAAATATGCTTTTAAAAAAAGTAACTTTTGAATTTAAATGTTAAGTTTGTCCAAGATTAGTTTATATTTAGATGACTAAGGATTTAAGACCCTTGTTTTCTTTATTAGATAAGTGAGGTGATCAGAAGATAAATTGATAAATATTAAACATAACATTTTCTTAACTATGCCTCCTTTTATTATTATTTTCTATACCATTAATTTGCTCCCTTGGGAAAATGTTTTGGTATGAAAAAATGTATCTCTTGACTTGTTTTGGGGGAAGATGATGATGAAGGTAGAAAAGCAAAATCCACATTATGTAAAACAGGTTGTTTACAACAAAATTTCTTTATTTCTTTCTGGTAATAATATTTTACAGCATCAGTTCTTCTTCTTTCTGTGTTCATTCCTAAATTCATGTCTGGAAAATGCAAAAGAATTTGATAAGCTATATGATTGACATTAACTATGCCAAGGTTGAGTAAGGGACTTGGTTGAACTGTTATTGCAATGCAACGTGAGACTGTTGCGGGAGACATATTTCCAAAATGGCATCTATTTCGTCCCCTAAAAAGTTCCAAAATGCACTGCAAATCCAACATTAACCATTCTCTTTACTCAACCTTAGAATGGGGAAGAGATAATGAAAGGGTATTGTAATGTATTTTGGAAAATCTTGACCCTCTACTTGGGTGTGGTCACCCTGGGGTTGGAGTGTCAAATTGAAAAAAAATAACATTTGATCAACTTAATGTGCTACGCACCATACCATGAACACTTCCACAAGCTTTTGTCAGATTTCTTTTTGACAACTTTTAATCATGCTCTTTACTGCTAACCAATTTGATAATGGTGCTTCACTTTAATGTTTCGATAGGAGTTTGTACATTAATGAAATGATATCGAACATCTAAGTGAATCGCTGATAAAATAATGGTAAACACTGGTAAAGAGCACTTTAAATTAAAACTCGTCAAAAGGGAATAAAAAACTTGCAAGTGTTCACAGTGCAGCAAGTGGCACAAAAAGATACCTTGATTGCCATCGTGGTCCTTGGTTCCATACTCTTCCAAAAGATGGTAACCTGAATCAAGAAGCATTCATGATTCAATAATTCAGCCAAAAATATCTCTAAAACAACAAATTTTATACTAACCATTCTTCATCTGTCTGTTTTTCTCTTTCAAAGTTTGCTCCAACTCTGTTTGGATTTTGAGCTGATTTTTTCTTTCGTTGAACTGTTTAAAAAAACAACCAAATAATCTGATCTACTTGAAACTTATATCCACCAGAACCTTCAGTGTCATGCTAATTTTTTTGTACTTTGTGAGTTTAAGAGGGTTGGAAACAATACACAACACTTACCGTGTTTCTGAAAGTCTTCTAAGGAAGGGCCAATGCATGTTTCCTTAATTTTAAATTTAAAAAAATATTTGAATACTTGCAAAACATTTTCATTTGAAATGAGTTGAGGTAAATAAAGGCTTTGCACCATCATGTGATGGCAGCCATGACAGGAAGCAGGTACAATGGAATCTGGTCTCATGTGATTTACATGAGAAAGAATTCAGTCTCCCAGTGGGAAAAGACTATTGCTGTGCCTCCCGTCATGGCTGCCATCACATGATTGGTGAATGTTTGGAAAGAAACCTCAATCCTAATAATGCATTGGAAGATTATTAYGTACCTTTTTGTCATCATTGTCATCATCATCATCCCTTAACCATGGTGGGGTTGCACCTTATAAAAAAAATTATAATTCACTGGAAGGACTGCTGTCAGACACGAAGTAACAGCCTGCTTAGCAGTGCAGGGCTAGACCTGAATAATCTTAGTCAGTCTAACAAAATGGTAGCACGAAAAAGCCCCAGAGCATTTAATACAGTGTGTGCAACCATGCAACTAAAAATCCCTTGAGATACGAATAACAATGAAACAACTGCCATGTTGGTTGATCTACCAAGAGAAGCTAACGAGGAATGGTTGAAAATATTTTGGGGGGGGGGGGGGCTGTTTTAATGTGCTTACCAGAATATATATTGCCTTCTCCTTGTCCAAGGCCTTTTATATCTATACATGTTAAATTACTACCAAATGCTTTAGCAGTTTGGATTCCTCTTGGGGATGATAATCCTACACCTGGCAGTAAAAAAAAGATAAATAATATAAGTTATATACATACATTTATATAATTTTATTTTTATTTCTAGTTATACAATTTATATTTATTATTCTGTTGTAAGTTTTAACACGGCTCTTAGGAAGAGCATTTTGTATGATAAGACATCCGTGTTTAAATAAAGATTATGTATGTATGTAACTTATATCTCTCACACACTATCTTAAGCTATGCGTTTTTGTAAGAAAATATGGTGGCATAACAAACTGCACTAAATCTACTAATTTTTTTTGTTTTTGCCCTTTCAGAATTACTTTTTTTGATGTAACAATGGATATATTTAGAAAAGAAATAGCCTTTCAGAAAACAGTAGGGAAGTATGTCCTAGTCAAAACAACTTGGCAAAAGGATTAATATCTTCTTGAATAGTAAGTGTCATTAATTCCCAAAGGGTAATATTTTAAGCATATTTTGACAACATTTTAATGTGTATGTGGGTGTATTAAGTATGTCACCCACCTGCATTACTAGTGTTTCCAGGTACTCCCTCTTCCTTGTCCATTTCCCATGGATACCACTGATCAGACCCTTGTCTGCAATAACATAATAAACAATAAGTGCTGGTCCATTGAGGAGGGAGGTTGCCGCTCTAAAAAGATCTATAACTCAATTAGATAAATACAAAGAAACAGAAACAAACAAAAGAACAAGTTGACAAATAAAACTAGTGTTCCTTTTGGCCAATATCTTGACAGCTCTTATTAGCAGGTGCACCATTGCTGCTATTGAGAACCAAGAGTCTAATAACAGCCACAGGGGTACAATAAGCAACATATAGAAGTGCAAAACACTTGCGTCCCTTTTTAATAATCTCATTTATATGGACACTGAATTGGCCGATGAATTCTACAGACATGCTCTTAAAAAAGATTTGGATATGGTTGGCTGAGGCCGTAAGGCTCAGGTCAAACGTCAATTTTAACATGAGCCAAACCTTAATGAAACAATGGATAATGAGGCAGTCTTCACAGGAAAAAAAAACCGGATTCCCAAATTGGGAATTTCTTGGGAATTTTCTTGAATTCCCAACAAATTCCCATCCAATTCCCAGAGAGAACAAAATTCGGAACGTGGCACTGATTCCCAATGTTAGTTTGTTGGGAATTTTGTTTTTCTATTGGGTATTAGAAGGAAATTCCCAACGATAAATCCCAACATTGGTGTTCTAATTGGGAATTCAAGGAAATTCCCAACAATTCCCAATTTGACAATCCGGTTTTTTTTTCTGTGCTTCTTTGATGTCATTAGGTTCGGCATATGTGAAATTCAACGTTTGACTTTAGTCCAACTTTTCAACGTCTGGTAGTAGCAGATAGGAGTTAAAGTAGAAGAAGAGGAAAAAATATACTTATAGAAAGATTGCATTGCCTCAATTTACTAATAAATTTAAAATAAATTGTATATCATAAAGGAGGGAGGGTCTTGAGTACTTTACCTGTACTTGAATATGCCTCCTCCCCAGACTCTAAAGCCTTCATGCCTATTCAGAATTCAAAATACATGATGTCAAGCAATATTTTTAGGATTCTATATAAATACTAAGATAAAAGGTACAAAGGAAATTAGATCAACATGCATGAAACTGAGAAAAATAAAATGATATAATATTGAAATTGGGATATTATTTAAAATGAACATGCAAGAGAAGGAGCTTGTAAACAACACTGAGAATCAAAGCAAAGGTACGAATTTTTCACTCTAGTTAAACTAAATCATTTTCTTATTGGAAAAAAGTGTCAATTTTCCCAGACAGTCTCCATAAAAATGAAAAATATCAGCTTTAATTTGTGATTTTTTATCATCCTCTTGAGATCTTGACTGATGAAGAACAAAAAGGCATCAGGAATTATGTCATCTGCAGTCAAATAATATTTATGAAAATGAAGTATTCTATTTCTAACCGCAGGTGTTTTTACAGTAGTACATGGTCTTTACGGCAGTACATGTTTTACAGGATTAAAAAATTAGAGATTTTTTTAAGTTGATGTTAGAATGCAGCTAAATATGTTGATGTTTGTGGATGGAACTAATGATATGTTTTTCCTCAGCATTTCCACACTACGAAATTTTCAACAGTGTATACAGAACACAAATAAATCATTCATACAGTATACCAACCATCCAGTGGGATTTTGCTGAATGCCAAACTCATTCTGTACAGTTTTGTAGATAACAAGAGGTTGCTGTGGTCGTATTTCTGGTGGCTATGGTTGGTTATATTCAGGAAAAGAAACAAATACTAAAAATTTAACTTTGATAGTATGAAGAATCACCATTCAGTATAACACCCCACAAGGTGTGATTATATCTCTCTTTCCGATAAAGAGAAAAAAGAAGAACCTACTAGATAAAGACTCTTGAAGTGTAGGAGAAAATCCAAATCCAGGGCAGGATAGAGTAGGGAAGGGGAAGGGGAAGGGGAAGGGAAAGGTAGGTTATAGTAAGTCAGGGTACAACATAGTAGGCTAGGGCAGGGCATTTTAGGTTAGGTCAGATGGGAGGGAAGGGTAAATTTTCTAAATCTATTTAACATGGTTAAGGATATTAACAATCATATGATGTTAAAGTCATAGATGCAGTGCTATGCCTAAGCATATTGTAATGGATACAGTTCAACACCCTTTGTCACATCACCACAGACCTGTTGGCTTTCTCGTTTTTGTTTTACTTCTATCTGTTTTATTTTTTCTGCCTCCTGTGAAGGAAATTAATACAATGAAAATATTTATGTGCTTTTAAGAAAAATGTATTACAAATAAAATAGTGTCACAAACCTTTTCTCTTTTTTTCTCCATGACTTCTTCATGTTCTTTCAAAGCCTTATCAACACCTTCCTTGAACCTTTATTCAAAAAGAGATTAATATTTCTCTTATGAACACTAGAAACTATAGAATACTCTGTAAATGAAGTTTTCTTGGTCTCTGAAACAAGTAAAGCATTCTGAATATATTATACAAAGGGAATTAGATGTGGTGCATCAGTAGTAGACTCACCTCTCACCTGAGCCATATTTTTGCGTCTCATGTTTGATTCCTAGACTAGGCATTATATGAATCTAACATGCTAAATGCCAATTTAATCTATGAATTAGCTGTGCCCTAACTTTGATTGACCCAGAGGTTGTCTCAGGTTGTTTGATCTGTGATTTAGCCATGCCCTGACTTTGATAAGCATATAGTTTATTTCAGGGTTCAATATGTGAGTTGCAGAGCCCTGACTTTGATCACCTCAGAGGTCGTTTCAGGGTTTGATTTGTGACTGTTAACCATACCCTGACTTTGATTAATTAGCTCAGTGGTTTAAGGGTTCAATTTGTGAGTTAGCCATGCTTTGACTTTGATCAGCCCATAGGTTGATCCAGGGTTTGATCTGTGAGTTAGCCATGCCCTGAAGTTGATCAGCCCAGAGGTTGATCCAGGGTTTGATCTGTGAGTTAGCCATGCCNTGATCTGTGAGTTAGCCATGCCCTGAAGTTGATCAGCCCAGAGGTTGATCCAGGGTTTGATCTGTGAGTTAGCCATGCCCTGAAGTTGATCAGCCTATAGGTTATTTCAGGTTACTGATGAAATTTGAAAGTCTAAAAATATTCATATGGAGGTTATGTTCAAACCTGATGTACTGCTCATTGGTGACCAAGAAAGCACTTTTCTTCTCTTTTTCTGCACCATGTTCTCTCCAAAAACTATGCAACTTTTTATGATGGTTTTTACTAAAGTAGGAATGAGAGGGAATTTCATGAATAACATACATATATATTTTCCATTCATGTATTCACTAATTGGCTTGTACTCTAGTTAAAACCATTAATTATCATAATTAGACTGCAGGAGCAGATCCAGGATGTTAAAAAGTGGGTTTCAAAATGGCCAACATGCAGAAAGAGCTGGTGTTATTGGCTTTTCATTATGCAAGATATTTTCATTTTCCTCCCATCCTTTTTTCAAAGTGATATGATTTCCTTTCATTGCATGCTGAAACCATTGTGTTAATGAAATGATTTTTATTTCGATCGATCAATGAAAGGTCAGGACAGATTAGGTAATGCATACCCCTCCCTCCCCCACCCCACACACACGCAGAGGAATTTGGAATTTCAATGGGGTAGGGGGGTCAGAGAAAAACAAAATTACAGAGTTTGTATGGAAGAAAATCTGAATTTCCAGGGGAAGGGGGGTCTAAAAAAATTCATCCTTGTTGGGGGGGAGAAATTTCTGGAACTACACAATATGAAAGTATGAATATAACCTACTGTATTGTTGAGGAATGAAGCTTTTTACACCCCAAATCCCTAAGATTTCCAGTGCCAGCCTTCAACTAATAAACACCAATGATTTCGAAATCTTACCTCGCAAAGTGTTCAAACACTCCGCCATAGGTGATTGACACCCGTCTGTCTGTCACATGTTTATTTACATCTTCACCACAAAAATGACACCAAAACTTAGCTCCTGGCTCTAACTCTCCGTCTTGAACAGAAGGGTTATGAAGATATTTTCTAACTTCGTCCACCTAATTAATAAAAAAAGCAATTCCTTTCAAATAAAACAGAATAAAAACAAGAAAGTTTACAATTTTCTCAAAAGAAGATTATTTATTTTTCTTGAAAAAGAGCTTACTTTTTTTCCAAATTTTAACAGCACATTCTCTAAAGCTTTCTTGTGCTTTTTAGAATATATATGCTTTCTTCCTTGGTCGTGATTCTTCCTACAAAGGACACAAAATGCGAAGTCTTTGCTACTCTGTTCGTCTGCCATCTTGGATCTGTATTATTTATCCATAATGCTTTGCGCAAACAGATATTTTAATTTGAAGATTGGGATACCTGTGGTGTCTATTAAACTATAATGAAAAAAATAAGACCAAGCTGTGAGAATTAATGATTATTTCTACATTAAATAATTACATTAAATTATTCCATTCTATTTATATCTTTATCATGTGTTTTTCATTGCTAAATGGTAGCATTTATGAGGAAATTTCTTCCTGCAAATTCTAGCGGCGGTAGATCTCCATGATAAGCGATTTATATACAGCTATCTGAACTATAGATCTTGCGATATATCAGGAATAAAAGATATGCCATTTCTTATCTTCCACAAAATCCATTTCCCCATTTTAAAAATTCCTTTTTATGTCTTTGCGATCGTTAAAACTGATGAAAATGATAACTATCTATTAGTTCCCGTGATTCTCATTCACTTTTGCCAAAAATACGTTTGAACATGTATTATTATTATGAGGATAATCCTGTCCTAGACCACAGGAACCCCAAGCGAATGGACCGCAAACAAAGCGACACAGGAAGTAAAAACAGGTGACAGGTCAACTTGACTTACACAAATGCAGTGCCGTGATTGGTCAGTTACTTCAAGTTCTGTGAACGTTCGGGAATTTTTATATTGAAAAGGCTGTCAACCTATTTAGAATTTCATTCAATCCATCATCAGCAAGCTGTCTTCAAATCCTAACACTCTTCAACCACACGAGCTTTCGTGTAAATAATCTATAATCACCGCCATTCGACCAACAATGCATTGAAACATTTTAATACCTAAACGGGTGTAATTACGTCGATATTAATTATTGATTATTACTGGTTTATCTTGGTTATTTCTCTCCATTAATACATTGCACTAAGGAAATACAAGAGCTAGTTCGTAAATACAGACAAACTAGAGAACCGTGTGAACTTGACTGTTAATTAATCTTGGACACTCAAGAAAGATTAGAAGCAAAGATCTGGAATTGTTACAAGACGACACAGTAGGCCCGGAGGAAAATCTAGTACAACTGTTTGATGATTTGAATATTATTATTCAGCGAGCCAGACGATCGCTGTCGATATTGAAGCAATGATGTTTCTGTGTGCAAAGCTGTCAGTGTGACGAGGTTGTAACGACGTAAATGTGGCAAACCATCTCAACGTACCTCCGTTCAATCACCCCTTAGGTACTTGATGAAAAATACATATTGATGGAGAACAAGAATTTTACTTGCGATAAGCAGAATGGAGGCAATTTGGCGAGTGAAAATTCTGATTTTCTCGCTATTTTGGGAGGTTTTAAGCGAGAGTGTTTACAAGTGAACGACTTCTTGGAAGAGGAGCGAGAATTTCGCGACAAGGAAGAGACTCAGAGTGGAGAAAAGTGTAAGATCTGCAGCTCACATCCATTCATACTTGCCAAGGCTGGATATTGGATTGAATGTACCGATAAAAACTGCCCTAAAATGAAGAGTGTCTTGCATTTAAGTGATAAACTAGTTAACAGTTTTCGCGACCTCGGTTCTAGCGGGAAAATATGTACCAAAGTTCTCCCTGAAGAAATTTACGAAAATTATTTTTATGGCTCTAAACACTGGAATTATTCCTGCAGAGATGAGAAAATCGGTCCTGTTATTTTAACGATTAAGCAAGAATTTCGCCAATCAAAGGATTTTCTGAGGTAAGTTGGTCTCTGAATGGTAATTTCAGATTGTTACACATAGTCAAATGCTACTCTAATTGGTTTTCTGTCACTAAACTGTTCAATAATATACCCCTTTATAGTACCGTAAGAGGCTGTAAATACAATCAAAAACAGATGGTTACTTCTACGAGTTTTATTCTTCATTTGTTTGTCCAAAATTGTCACATTTTATTAAAAATTATTGAATGTAGCACGACTTTTCGTGATCCTGGTTTGTTGACATTTGGATTTGAATGAAAGCATGGTAAGTCTTGTGCATACAAGACCCAGACCATTACATGAAAATCACGCATTTACAAAAACATCTTATCTCTGTATTCTAAAAATATWTTTTTTTTCTGTTATAATCCTGTGGATTTGTTTTCTCTTTGGTGTTTTTTGTTTTATTTTTTCGTGGTGCTTATGTTGAGCGGTTTTCATTGGAGTTGATAAAATGGCGCTGTTTCATGATTGATATTTTGTTGAACCACGCGTTATATAATATTGTCAACAAAAGACCCTTTCCGCTGTTTCTCGTTAAGTATGTCAAAAACTGCAGGGGGACTTTCGCCTTGAATTTTTTTAAAATCCCGAAATGAAAGCCACGAGGGGTTTGTTTATGTTCGTGAGGACGGCGTGTTGTTCTTTGTCTGTAGCTCGTGGCATCTCCTTAATTCATCTGAACGCTATAAATAATACCGAAACTGCTTTTTTTTACCTCAAAAATGAAAACAAGCTGAAACTTTTGTTTTGGTTTCTAGAGCTGTTTCGCTATAGCCATCTTTGAACGACAGATATATTTAATTATATTCATGGTATTGATACCTTCATCTGCCGACACCTCGACGGCAGTTGATGTTAGCAAAATGATACTTCATAACTTCGTTTCATAACGAGATTAAATAATAATATAATAATAATAATACCTCTATTTTTGATAAAAAAAGGAAATGCCTTAAAAATCTTAATACTCTGTTTCCTTATATGATTTGAAAATACATTTTCTTCCGGAATATTCTTTTAAATATTCTTTTCTCTTCAAGTATTGTGCCCTCTGGGTATGGTTTACAAACATTGATTCTGGAACCAGAATGTTTTTCCATAATAAAACCAATTAACCATTTGAACAACACATTGAATATCCAATTTATTTATCCTTAAGCGAAAGTGATATCAAAATCTTTGATTAATTAGAAAGGAAGTAAAGAGTAAAACAAATGAAAATGAAAATGAAAAAACATAAATAATCATATATTTAAGCATCACGGCAAATGGAATATGAAATAAGCGTTTGATTAGAGGAAATATAAAACTGTACGCTCAAGCAGCCATGATGCATATCAATAGGTTCTCCGACCAAAGAAAATAGAATTTTCGCYGAAGTTTGCTTTTGCTTAAAAAAATTAACAAACAACGAATGGCAGTTCATCCATTGGCATGTTAGTTTGGCTAATAAACCCTTCCTAATTTATAATTTTCTAAAACGGAAAAGCCCAAAATACTTTGGAACTGGATATGGTGGATGGATTTTCCTAAAATTAAGAAATAATTGGCATGTGCAGGGATAGTTTGGTCATTATTTGTTGGTTTGGACTCATTTTACCACAGCTACCAGCTACAACAACAACAACAACGACTTTGTTTGTACATGAATACAATATTTACAATATTCTAGTTTAAATTAAATTAAATTATAATGTACTAGACCTKTAATCCGAAATGATTAGCCAGCTGTCCGTCTGTCCTTGTTTGTATCTTAACTGTTTCCATCTGTTTGTGTGTCTGTCTTCCCTCTCTCTAAATAACTGTATGCTAAATCAATCAGCCACAGCCAGCTGTGAATGGGCTCTCCTTTTCATTGACAGCCTGTTGGGGTAGATCTAGGTGGGGAAGTCTTTGGAGGTTTTTCTGGACCCACTTCACTGCAGTCAGTCATCTAAGCCTGCATTCATAATGTATGGCAGAGGGGGGGGGGGGGGGCGGGGGAAAATTTTAAAATGTCCGTAATAATTCTTAACACCCCCCTTAGAGTCATGCAAAAAATACGATTCCCCCTATAAGCAAGGCTTGTAGCTTCTTCCAAAATTGTGCATCCCCCCATTTTTCTGATAAAAATGTTCCCATCCCCCCCTTTTTCCTACTAAAATTTTCCYGATCCCCCCTCAATTTCACCTGCATGCCCCCCACCCCCCTTCTGCCATGCATTATAGCCTAAATAGCAAATACACTGCACCCTCTGAATAGAAGATAGCTCATAGTACAAAAGCAGCAAGGTCCCTAGCTTAAGAAAAGCAGACCTCCTTTCACTCCCCTGCCCCTCCTTTTACAGGGGAACAGAGGAGCAAAAGGAATTCTGTTTTCTCAGGTTTAAGTTTTCCTTGAGAGTTGTTGCTTTGGGTCTGACCAAACCTCTCATTTCTACCCTTGATCTGCTGCTGACATTATTGTTCTAACTTCCTTTTATTGCTTCTATCGTATTCAATCACCTCTCCCATCCAGCTAAGGGTAAGAGACTCCAGTCTCAAGTAGAGACTGAATTCACATATTTTTCTTTTTAAAAATTTTCAGAATCATGGTTCGTTCATCATCTCATGTAATTCATGGTATGCTTCCAGTAAGCAGTATTTCTACCAGTCCTTACAGCCATGAAGAAGTTGTCCAATTTCTGTCAAGCGTGATTGGCCTGGAGGCTCAACTCAAGCCTATCAAAATATCTGCTGCTCCTGCAGAATTACTGAGAATAGATAAAGTAAGGTAGTCTCTGGGTAAATGAGGGGATTGATGGATGGATGGATGTGAAAGTAGGGAGAGATGGATGGATGGTAGGTGAGATGGATGGATGGTAGGTGAGATGGATGGAAGTGAGGAGGGATGGATGGATGGATGGGTGGGTGGATG